AAGAACCAGAAACATCTATAGAGGCTGTTGTGAGAATTCAAACAAAGAAGAGCATTTTAAGAATTGACATGTGCAGGGCCCTGGATTTGATCACCAGCACTGAAACAAATAAAAGAAAGAGAGAGAGGAAGGGAAGGAGGAGGGGAGGGAGGGACGGAGGGAGGGAGGGGGGGAGGAAACACAGAAGAATTAGGAAGCCTGGCCTGAGGAGACAGCTCAGTGAAGTCCTGGCCACAGGAGCATGAGGACACAGGCTCAGACTGCCGGGACATGGCTGTAACTCCAGCACCGAGGAGGTGATGACAAGTGGGTCCCAAGGGCTAGCTTCCCAGCTAACCAAAAGAGTGAGCCCCAAGTTCAGAGAGAGACCCCGTCTCAAAAATAAGGTAGAGGGCAATTGAGGAAGACAACTGACCCAACCTCTGACCTTCACACACGCACAACCACACACATGTGCATACACACATACACCACACACAATTATTATTTGTTTATTTTTAAATTAAAATTTAAAAAAGAATTACATAGTGTAAAATACCATGATCGAAAGCAAGTCAGGGAGGAAAGGCTTCCTTTCATCTTAGAACTCCCACCACAGTCCCTCACTGAGGGAAGGGAGTCAGGAACTCAAGGCAGGAACTGAAGCAGGGACCCTGGAGGGGCACGGCTTACTGCCTTTTTTTCATGACTTGCTCAGCCTGCTCTCTTATAACCCAGGACCACCTGTGATGGGTGGCACCATGTACGGTGGGCTGGCCTCCCACGTTAATCATTAATGGAGAAAATGTCCCACAGGCCAATCTGATGGAGACGATACCCCAACTGAAGTTCCCTCTTCCCAAGTGACTCTATTTTGTGTGGAGGTGACACAGGCTAGCACAGGTGGTCCCCAACGTCAAATGCTATAGGGAAGTTATAAGGAAATGTAAACATTAGATAGCGTCTTATTGCATCTCAGAGGGTAATGTCAAAAGTAAATCACCTGTAAAGAGCACCATGACTTGGCATTGTTTAATGGAACCCAGAGTCTTATTCATCCTCACACCCATTTACTCACTGAGAAGATTCCAGAAGTGAGTCTACACAATTGGACTGAAAGTGAGTGCACACCCTAGCTGGAAGAAAAATGAAGATTGACAACCAGGGTCATTGGTAGTTCTGATGGAATGACCTCAAGCTTCCTTTTAAAAGGTTTGTTGATTGTTTTAGTTTCTATTGCTGTGATAAGACACCGTGACCAAAAGCAACTTCAGGAGAAAAGGGTTTATTGACTTCCACCTCACAGTCCATCATCCAGGGAAGTCAGGGTGGGAGCTGGAGACGGAAACCTGGAGACAGGAACAGAAGCAGAAGCCTGGAGGGATGCTACTTACTGGGTTCCTCCTCATGGCTGCCTCAGCCTACTTTCTTATATCACCCAGGACTACCAGGGGTCCCCCCCAGCAGTGGGCTGGGCATTCCCACAATCCACCATCAAACAAGAAAGCACACCACAGGCTAGCCCAGAGGTCATCTTGGTAGGGACATTTTCTCAACTGAGGTTCCATCTTCCAAAATGACTTCAGCTTGTGTCAAGTTGATATAAAATTAGCCAGTACATCCGGTAACTGCTTTTTTCATGGCTGTATCGCCTCTGATAACACTGAACATCTCAGCACCTCAGCAACTAGCACAAATTCCTTCTCTCTCCATCTGCCATTCCAGTTTTGTTTTGTTTTGTCTTCAAAGAGCTATAGCCTCACCCTTGGCTTTGGATTTCCTTCCTTTCTTCTTTCTTTCCTTCCTTCTTTTCTTTTTTTTTAGACAAGATCTTACTCTGTATCCTAGGCTGGCCTACACTTCACTCTGTAGCCCAGGTTGGCCTTGAACTCATAATCTTCCTGTCTCAGCTTTCAGAGTAGTAGGATTAGACACATGAGACACTATGCTAGGCAGAACTATATGCACTAATAGAATAGGGAAGAGTATAAGTCTAGAATCAGACCATCCTAGAACTCAAATCTTGGGTTACTCTCATTGTGTGCCCTCTCAAGTTCCTCATGGTATCTAACAAGACAAGGTAACTAGAGTGTCCATTTGCTAAGATTATTATACATTAAGTGAGATAATATAGTCAAACTGTACTTAGAACAGACTAGTAAGTTCTTAATAATTGTTAGCTATGATTATTAAATACTTTACCAGAAAGGTTTTACATTTTGCCAGAATCTAATTTTATAAGCACTGAAAGAAGTATTTGCTGGGGATGTCTTTCTGTATGCTGTGAATGTGTTGCTCTGATTGATTGATAAATAAAACACCAATTGGCCAGTAGCCAGGCAGGAAGTATAGTATAGGCGGGATAAGGAGAAAGAATTCTGGGAAGTGGAAGACTGAGTCAGGAGGCGCTGCCAGCCGCCGCCATGAGAAGCAAGATGTAAAGTACCGGTAAGCCACAAGCTATGTGGCAACTTATAGATTAATAGAAAGGGGTTAATTTAAGATATAAGAACTAGATAGCCTTTTTCCCCTCAGCCGCCTCCAAGGTGCTTGGTTCTTCCGAGGAAGCTAAGGCCACGTTGGGGTGAGGCTCTCACTTCATCTGATGACTAGCACCTTGCCGGCAGTCTGCAACATGGCCTCTTTCTCCGAGCTCGCCTGCATCTACTGCTCCCTCATCCTGCACAATGATGAGGTGATGGTCGCTGAGGATAAGATCAATGCCCTCATTGAAGCAGCTGGTGTCAATGTTGAACCTTTCTGGCCTGGCTTGTTTGCAAAGGCCCTGGCCGATGTCAACATTGGGAGCCTCATCTGCAACGCAGGGGCTGGTGGGCCTGCTCCAGCAGCTGGAGCCACACCAGCAGGCGGTCCTGCCCCCTCTACTGCTGCTGTCCCAGCTGAGAAGAAGAAAGTGGAAGCAAAGAAGGAAGAATCTGAGGTGTCTGATGATGACATGGGCTTTGGTCTTTTTGACTAAACCTCTTTTGTTAACATGTCCAATAGGAAGGTGAACCTGTTTAAAAAATTAGATAATAAGAATCCTGCCACGTCCTCGGGGGAGGACTTGTCCTGGAGGAAGTGGGAGTGGAGGGTGGGCTTGGGGGTGGGGGGAGGGGGTGGGAGGGGGAGAATGGGGGAACCCATGGCTGATATGTGGAACTGAATGGTATTGTAAAATAATATATATACAATAATATAACCTAAAAAAAAAAAAAAAAAAAAAGAATCCTGCCACAGCCATACAGTTTATAAGTAATATAAGTCTCTGTGTGTATATTTGGGTCTGAGAGGCTGCGGGCCTGAGCGGGCCTGGAGAAAACTCCAGCTACAAGTATTGGTTTTGATTGTTGGTTTTTTGAGACAGGGTCATAGGCCAAGATGACCTCAAATTTCCTATGTAACTGAAGCTGGCCTTGAGCTCTTTATTTTCTTGCCTTTACTTCCCAAGTGCTGGGATTATATGTGTACACCACCAAGTCTAGCTAAAAGAACAACAATAATAATAGTTTTTTTGTTTTTCTTTTTTGAGACAGGGTTTCTCTGTGTAACAGTCCTAGCTGTCCTGGGACTCCCTTGGTTGGCCTTGAACTCAGAGATCTGCCTGCCTCTGCCTCCCAAGTGCTGGGATTAAAGGTATGTACCACCACCCAGCATAATAATAGTTTTTAACTACATTGTGAGAGTTCAATTTGTCATAAGGTGAGAGCAGTGGTATTTGTTGATTTAGAAAAGGCAGCTTCCACCTATGAGAAAGATTTGAGGCATCACTCCCTCCCAGCTCTACCTATACAAACAGCCTCTGTCAATTTCATCTATCTTCATAAATTTGCCCCCGAGAACCAGTCAGCATCTAGCTATGGGTAGGGAGCCAGAGACCTTGGCAGTTTCTCCTGGCCTAAGCTCTGGGATCAAGCAGACATCAGGCCTTTCTGCACCCCACTTTGGGTACGAAGGTGGGGGTGAGAAGTGGGGGTGGTGTTACAGTGGAGATACAAAACATCATTAAACAGTGAGGCCACAACAAAGCCACACTCTCCACAGTCCAGTGTCAGTGCTGGTCAGGCAGCAGCTGCTGAGATCCCAAATATGCATCCTGGTCCCCAGATGGGACTCACTCTATCAACACAATTTCCCTTCCAGCAGCTCTGGCTGCTAACAGAACATTCCCAGATCTTAAGGCCTTCCTTGTCCAGCTCCAGCCCGCAGCAGGGTTTACGTCCCCTCTTTCAGGTTTGCCAAGAACAGAAGTAGCTTTCCAAACTCCTATCAACAAGAGACCGTGGTCATTAACTGAGGGGATGCTTGTTACTACAGGAATTCCGTATGCTTCGGCAAGGAGAGGACTCCAGCTTGTGGATGGCTGTGGTGAACTACACAGTGGAGCTGATACACAGTGGAGCTGACACAGACCAGGGCAACTTGTAGACCCAGGACTGTTTCTAAAGTACAGATGCATAGATGGGCAATAGAGGGAGACCACTCCAGAGCATCAGACCCCACTGCCTGTGGCAACCACAGCAAGGCTTTTGCTTGGTTTTGTTTTTCAGTTAGATCTCTGTAGACCAGGCTAGCCTTGAATTCTTCACCCTCCTTCCTGGGGCTCCCTAGGGCTGGATTTTAGGAATAGATACCATACCTGGCCACAACTGATCATTCTGAATGCTTTTTTTTTTTTTTTTTTTTTTTGAGATGGGGTCTCATGGAGCTCAGGCTGATCTCCATAGCTAAAGCTGACCTTGAATTGCTGACCTTCCTTCCTTCACCTCCTGCCTCGGCCGTCTGAGTACTGGGATTACCCACAGGTGTCACCAGGACCAAACCGCTTTCAATTTTTTCAGATGGCTGAAGACTGCTTTCTAGATAACACAGGAATTCCTGTATATAATTGGATTAAACAATTGATTCATATAGCTTAAATGCATTCAAAGACAAACATGGGACTAAGAAACTATGAGAAAGTAAAAAGATTTTAGATTTGAGCCGCCTACTCCGGTAGAAAGGGAAGGACTAACTCACTGCCGTGGGAGAAATGAACTAGGCTCCCACATTCAGCTTTATCTCCACTTGTCTCTGAACGACCTCTTTTTCTTTTTAAAGATTTATTTTTATCTAAGTGTATGTCTGTATGAGGGTATGCAGGTGACCACAGAGGCCAGAAGAGGGCGTTAAACCCCTGAAGTTGGAGTTCTGTATAGTTGTGAGCTAACTAAATGGGTGTTGGAACCAGACTTGGGTCTTGTAAAAGAACAGCAGATACTCTTAAGCACTGAACCATCACTTCAGCCCTGTGCAACCTCCTTGTCTGATTTCTTTTATTTTTCACACCAAGTTACTGAAGGAGAGATATATGTTGTTGACTGTTTGGGGTACCCAACATAAAACAGTCTCTACACCGCTCCCCTTTCCCCCTCAGCAAAGACTTTTACCTTTGACATTCACCGTACTGGAAATGGCAGGTGTCTAGGACAAATACAATGGAGTTAGGAGCACAATACTTGCTACAGATTATTTTTTTGTCTTTCTAAGATTTCTTTATTTTATGTGTATGAATATTTTGTCCACATATATGTATGTGTACCATATATGCGGATGGTGCCCCGGGATGTCAGAAGAGGACATCCCCTAGAATGGGAGTTACAGATGGTTGTGAACTATCATGGAGGTGCTGGGAATCAAACCCTGGTACTCTGCAAGAGTAACAAGCTCTCTTAATTGCTGAGCCATCTCTCCAGCCAGAAGGATTATTACTTAATGGAACAGAATGTTGCTTTATTGGAGCTTTAAGATGCAGATAAAATGAATTCCCTTTGCTGAGCAACAAAACAGTCCTGAAGATTGTAAAGCCAAGGAAAGAACAGAGAAACATTCCAACATTTAGTATAAACATGTATGTTCCAAACCTGGCATCTCTCTCTCTCTCTCTCTCTCTCTCTCTCTCTCTCTCTCTCTCTCTCTCTCTCTTTTCTCTTTTGCAACAAACCCTTTCAACCTGTTTGCTTATAGAAGGGAAAATACCACTTCACATCCCATGAAAGGAATAAACAATCTGTCTTTTAAATGGACTTTAACTCCTCATAAAGACTCCAATCTTCGCAACATGCATACACATGAGAAAATGAAAAATCCTTCTGTATCAAGCAATCCCTAATAATACAGCCAAACAGCGAACTACTCAAATGTGTTCTCAGCTTTTGTTGTTTTGTTTTTGAAGTAAGGCCTCATTATAGCTCAGGTGGCCTGAAGCTCTCAACCCTTTGGCCACCATGCCCGGTTGCATGCTGAGTTGCTACTCTATCCAACTACCGATAGAAAATAGACACTCTTCCACACACGCATAAAGCAGACCACCGATGAAAGCAGAACTTTGCTGTATTCAAAATACTCCCATCTTGGTTTATATGGAACAGCTCAGTATGGCATGGGGAATGGCTTTAGCTGAATGATATAAGGACGGTGTAAAGTGTGCTCCAGCATTCACACAAGGCAGTCTAGAAATGACACTAGTTTAAAACAAAAAACAAAAAACAAAAAACAAGCTAGGCATGGTGGCATACTCTTTTAATCCCAGAACTCGGGAAGCAGAGGGTTTGAGGCCAGTCTAGTCCACATAGTGAGTTCCAGAACAGCCAGGGCTACACAGGGAGACACAGTATGCCCCCCCCCCAAGAAAGAATCATTGTCAAATTAAATCAAATTATGGCCCATTACCATTTATAGGAAAAGAAAACAAATATAGAAACAGCAGCTCCTCCCCCTCATGCCAAAATTGTTTTGCCTCAGACACATGGCCATCATTGGGAAGCATAGGAATTGTACATATGTATAACATTAAATAATTTAAAAATACAGCCAAGGTTTCTTGGGTATGGTCCCAAAGACTTTCCAGATTATTTTTTAGGATAATTTAGGAAGACATTGAATAAATTAGAAGTACTTTCTTAAACATAGTTAACAGGTTCTTAAGCCTCCAGCGTCAAAAATGCAACGTATCTCTACCATCACACACTCTTATAGGACAGAATTTCATAGGACATCAGGTTCCCAAGGTCTAAATGCTTCCTTCACACGTCTCTATTTGCCCCGCCCCCATCCCTGAACTAAATTGCAGGGTTTCTTTTCAAGACAAATGTTGTGCTCTGGCAAAGTACCTTCAGGACACATAGACTTAATCATTCATATAATCCATAATTCAAGACTCCATTTCCCAGTTTAAAAATCAGCTTAGTCTCTCTATTCAGTACTCCACCATCTTACTTACAAAGGATCACTAGAGGAGAGAATCCCCTCAGAGGGAAAAAGACTAGAAATTCAAACTTGACATCTTGAAAAGAGCCATAAAAGACTCCCATTCAGACACTTACTATTCTTATTATTTTCTAAATGTTATGATTAAATAAAATCAAATGTAAATAATAAGCAGTAATTAAATAACACATTTTAAATAAATAAAGTTATGTCATCTGGAGTTTCCAGAGAATAGAGAAAGATGGGTTGTTCTGGTAAGTTCACATTCCTTTCTGTACCAGTTTCTACAAGGAACGGGCAACACTGCCCTCTACAGGGCCTGTGGTGTACCATCTCCTAGTTCATAGGGGACAGAGTAACTGGCTTTATGTGCACACAGCATAATCTTTATTTAGCTTCTGCGCCAGTCTATCCTGGGCTTTCTGTGAGTGATTCTGAAGATCACAGGGCCCTGGAGAGACTTTGAACAAGTCTATTAAAGGGAGTCAGGTTAGCTTTTTGCTGGTTTGGTTTGGTTTTGGTTTTTGAGATCAGAGTCCTATAATCCTGGGTGGCCTTGAGTTTACTATGTAGCCAAGGATGACCCTGAAGTCCTGGTCCCCTGCCTCCATCTCCAAGTGCTAAGCTTACAGGTATATACCACCACACCTGGCTAGAAATGAATATTTCTTGCCACAATTTTCAAATGTTATGGGGCAATAGAATGAGGCAGTGATGGATCGAATATCTACAGTTTCTGGTTTCATAAACCTGAAAC